TCAGTGACATAGCCACAGAGGACTAGAGTGGAGAGTGAAGCATCCAGCTGATAAGAAGAGAGGGCATATGCATAAGAAAACCCACACTTGCAGATAATACCCACTTATCCTGGCTTCAGTGACTGGATGATCAGAACTCAACCAGAAGTAAAAAGAAGAAGGGGAAAAAAAAAAAGTATTCTCATACAATTTGATGAACTTGACCTACACCTATGGAAGCAGTAGCTCAAAAGAGGGAACAAGTCCTTACAGCAAGAATCATTCCCACCCCCTCCACACACAGAGCCCCTCCACACACAGAGTAGACAGAGATGGGCAACTTGGACATTGGCTACCCAAAATGGGGAGTAGGGGGCTACAAAGGCAAGAAGTGACTGGCTTACAAGCTTTCAAGAGGGAACCTAGATCCAGAGGGCTTGGAGGAAGGTAGAACCTCCAGTGAGTAGTATTGAATCTGACTAGGCGGGGCTGATGCAATGAAATGCAGACGGGTCTCTTGTGATACAATAGTGAATAATTGTTATCAGGACTGATTGTGAGGGTCGGAAATGTAAAAGTAGACGTTTTATAGCAAGGAGGGGAGTGAGTAACTTTTCAGTCTAGGAGTGGAGGCCCCTAGGACCATCAAGGGAGAAGAGCAGAGAGCGGGACCCTACCCAGAGAAGCAGTGATGCCTGAAATGGAGCCAGAGATGATGACGTGGAGCAATGGAGCAGCTGGAGACTTTAGATCCAGAGAGGGAGAGCGACTGTGTGCTGAAGAGCTGGGGGGTATGGGGAAGGATTGCATGGAGGGGATTGTAACCATGGCAATGAGATGATATACGATAGAATGAATGTAAAACTAATGTTCTCCCATGTAAACTATCACATAATTCACAATAAAACATTTAAGAAAAAAAAATATAATGTTGGCAAAGAATATTGAATAAACCATGAACTGCCTGAAGAAGGAACAAATCTGTCTTGTAAGAAGCATAACTAGAATGGTCCTTATAAGTGACAATACTGAGACTTCAGGGACCCATCCCTGAAGGGTATCATGAACTGTGTACCTCTGAAATACTAAATTCCATGAGTGTGGTTATAATTACATTTGGAAATGGGCTGTCTTTGTTATGTTAATAATATAGGATTTGTGTGTTGTTGTGAGCTCTGCAGTCAGTTCCGACCCATAGCGATCCTATATGGGGTTTCCAAGGAAAAACTAGTGAGCTTGAACCACCAACTTTGTAGTTCAAACCATTTTGCAGTTCGATGCATTAACCCATAGCACCACACAAGAACTCCCAGGATTAGTGGAGGGTATGTTTTAAATCAACCTCTTTTGAGGTATAAAAGAGATAAACCAAGAAAGTAAGAGAAGCCGAGATGGAAGAAAGAGAGATACCAAGTTACACGAAGACAAAACAAAGGCAGAAGCTCAGAAGAGCCAAGGATCTTACTCCAGAACCTATATATAGAGAAAGTCTTCTCCTAGAACCAGAATCTTGAATTTGCACTTCTAGCCTCCTAAACTGTGAGAAAGTAAAATGCTGTTTCTTAAAGCCAGTCACTTGTAGTATTTCTATTACAACAGTACTAGATAACTAAGATATATGGTAAAGTGGAGGGTCGTTGGAAAAGAAGAACCTCAATAAAATGGATTGATAAACTGGCTATAATAATGGATTAACATATACCTTCTATTGTGAAGAAGGAGTTCTGGCATAACACTGTGGGATAATGATCTGGACCTCCAGGTCAGTTTGAACTATAAGGTTGATGGTTCAAATTCACCAGCTGCTCCTCAGAAACCCTATATGGGGTCACTATGAGTCAGAACCAATTCAAAGGTATTTAACAACAACTAACAACATTGTGAAGAAACTGAAGGATAAGTACTGGTCAGCTAATCCCAAGGTTGACAATCCAAATCCAACAGGTATTCAGTGGGAGAAAGATGAGTCTTTCTGCTCCCTTCAAGACATACAGTCTCAGCTATGAATAAGAATCAGCTCAATGGCAGTGGATTTGGTTTGGTTTGGATGATTGTAAGGATGGAACAGGATTGAGCAATGTTTCATTCTATTATACAGAAGGATGGTATGAGTCAGAATCAACTCAATGGCACCTAACAAACAACATACCCAATGAATCTGTATTAATCTAAACCTTTATTCTCAGACCATGCGACTTAGATAAGACTCATAGATGCTCCCTTGTTTACCTATGAAAAGGCCTCCAAGTTCTCATTTTTTGCCTCATAAATGATGAGCTGCACTGCATATCTCTACTGATCAATGGGAACAAAATTCTTGTTAACTAAACTTTGGTTAAGCATTTCCTTTTTTCAGTCTATGAACACTGGCCAACCCTTATCCTGAGCCAGAATAGAGGTCCTCTAAGGCTCTCTCCAGTGTCCTGGTGCAGCGCTGTGGGTTAATGCATCAGACTGCAAAACCATTTGAACTGCAAGGTCGGCAGTTCAAGCTAACCAGCTGCCCCTCGGAAATCCTATACACGGTCACTATGGGTTGGAACTGACTCTACGGCACTTCACAACAACAACAAGGACCTCTCCAGGAGAACAGATTTGCCTCAGTGTAAAAGATCTGACTACACAGCCCTTTCATCCCACTTTTTCACACCCAGCCCTTTCGTCCCACTTTTTCACACCCAGTTCTTTCTAGCTTATCTACTTCTCAATTAAAACAACAACAATAACAATAAATCTCTTTCTTTCACACCCTTGTAACAGTCCAAGCCCCGGCCCCCATTACAGTCATCCCTTTCCCCTTTTACAATAATCTTTTTTAATAAAGTCACTTCTTACTAATTCTAGATTTGGTCTTTATTGGACAATTACGGTATCAAAGAAGGCATGTCAAAGCATGGTACTTTAGGTGCCAAATCTTGCTGGCAGAGCCATGCAACAAACCCTGTCATCGTAGGCAAGTTAAACAGTTTCAATTGTTCCGGGTCTAGAGTTGGGTTTTCTGAAATCTGTGCAGTTCTGCCTCCTTTCCTCCGCTGGCATATTAGCTGCCCCCATTAGGCACCTAAAACAGTGTGTAAGTGCTGTACTTGAAATAAATGTAATTAAGAGTCATGAGGAGGGTTGAGAAGATAACCACAACTTTTATTAGGGGTTATTCAGCTGAAGGTAATTGAAAACAGATGATCAGAGGGATTCAGAAGTTTTCTCAGTTGTTCAGCAATAGGGCACAGTTGTCATGACAAGGAGATGCTCAGAGGAGCACCCTGGAAGAATGAGAGCCTTAACTCTTTCATAGATGAGAAATGGGATAAAACAATTGGCAAAGGAGAAATTAAATAGACCTTCCTTCTACTATGAAGCAATTCTTCACTCATAGATCTATGACTAAGCTGTACCCAGATATGTCAATTCCCTAAAGTGTCTGGACAGAAATTTACCAAGAGATAATAATGTTCAATTGTACTAAATAATAGAATAAAAAAAAAAATCAAAGCTATCAAAGTGTACTTTATCCTCCAAGAATCTTCCATGATTTCAGACACACTGTGACTTTAGTCCTGAATACTCTGAAAAGTCAACATGCAGGGTAAGATGTTGGTTTTTTAGGTGCTGTCCAGTCAATTTCAACTCATACTGACACTAAGTACAACAGACACTAAGTACAACTGCCGTGTCCTGTGCCAGCCTCACAATTATTATGTTTGAGCCCATTGTTGCTGCTGCTCTGTCAATCCATCTCACTGAGGGTTTTCTTCTTTTTTACTGACTTTCCACTTTTCCAAGCATGATGCCCTTCTCCAGGAACTGATTCCTTCTGACAACATATTTAAAGTACAAGAGACAAAGTTTTGCCATACTTATTTCTAAGGAGCATTCTGGTGGTATTCCTTCAAAACAGATTTGTTGGTTCTTCTGGCTGTATGGTATTTAGAATGTTCTTCACCAAAACCTTAATTTGAATACATTAATTCTATGGTATTCCTTATTCACTGTCCAAGTTTCACATGCATATGAGGTGACTGAAAATACCATAACTTGGTGAGGCACACCTTAGACCTCAAAGTAATATCTTTGCTCTTAAACACTTTTAAGAGGTCTCGTACAATAGATTTGCTTAATTTGATATATATTGTTTGATTTTTCACTAATGAGCCTTGATTTCAGATCCAAGCAAAATTAAATCTTTCATTTATCATGATGTTATTTATGGGCCCAGTGATGAGGATTTTTGTTTTCTTTACATTAAGGTGCAATCCATACTGAAGGCTGTAATCTTTGGTCTTTATCAGCTAAGTATTTCAAGTCTTCTTTACTTCCAGTAAGCAAGATTGTGTCATCTACATAGCTCAGGTTGGAAAAATAATGAGTTTTCCTCCAACCCCTGATACCATGTTCTTTTTCATATAATCTGCCTTCTCAGATTATTTGCTTATCATACAGACTGAACAAGTATAATGAAAGGATACAACCCTGGCAAACAAGTTTCCTGATTTTAAATCAGTCAGTACCCCCTTATTCTGTTTTAAGGCTGCCTCTTGGTCTATACACAGAATTCTCATGAGCACAATAAGTATTCTAGAATATCCATTCTTAGCAGCATTATGATCCACATAGTTGAATGTGTTTGCAGAGTCAATAAAGCATGCAGTAAGATAGTAAAGGTTTAATAAGTGCTTGGCATTGGAATCAATAAACACAAAAATCAGCACTCACAATGGACAGTTCAGAGTGAAACTTTGGTTTACATTATTTGAAGCAATCAAAAAATATCAGTATCTACTTTGTTGGCTCTATATTGAGATATTACTTCCAAGAAAGTTTGAGGAAATTCTAAGAGAAATAGTGAGTGCATTTATCCCCAATCACTTGCTTACATATAACCAACTATTAGTTTCTTAACACTATAGTGCAACAAGTCAACATTTCATACCATGCCACTGAGGCTGCCACTCCAACTAATATTTAGCATGAACTCAAAGCCCTCTTAGCTCTGATCTTCCTAACAGTGCTGAAGATCTTACCTCCACAATATTGGTGGGATTACGGATGTAGATTCCAGATGGTGTCAACACCTCAGGATTAGAAAGTCCTTCAGCACCAGAAACACTGATGATCACATTGTTTCTTATTATATTCCCCTGTTCTGACCAGTCTAATTTGAAAGAATATAAATCAAAAACATGGATTAATAAACATAATTAAAACACACAACCCAACAACCTTGATTCTATTAATAAACATGACAGTTCAAACATACATATACATGACATTTATTTAGAAAACATTTAACATGTTCAACAAACTTAGGACAGCTTTTTTCCCAATTTCAGACAACTTCAATAGACTATAATATAATTAAAGACAATCTTCATATTTACCAATTTTTCTTCTAAGAATAGTATTCCGAAAGATGTATCTCATCTCCATGTATGTACCTGAGAACAAAATACTATGTTATCTCATTGCATTTCATGCCACTTAGGAAAATAAAGGGCATTACAACAATATTTCATTTTTTTTAGGGTAGGGGTTGTTTTAGATTTTGCTTCTAAGTTTTCATCTATGAATAAGACAAGGAGCTACAGATCACATGAACCTTTTAGTTCTAGAGAATCATGAATCAGAAGTTAATTTTTAAAAAATAAAACCTGCTGTTACATTGAGGATATTATAATTAATATAATAAAATAAAACATATTTAAATTATTTAATGGAAAACTAAATTTTGAGCAAAGTTGTATCATCTATATATTGCAGGTTGTTAATGAGTTCCTCTAATCCCCATGCCACATTCTTCTTCATATAATCCAGCTTCTCAGATTATTTGCTCAATATACAGATTGAATAAATATGGTGAAAGAATATAACCCTTGTGCACACCTCTCCTGATCTTAAAACATTTGGTGTTCCCTTGTTCTGTTTGAACAACTGCTTCTTGGTCTATATATAGGTCCTTCATGAGCACAATTACATGTTCCAGAATATTCATTATCCTCAATATTGTCCATAGCTTGTTGTAGGGAGTGTGGTGACTCCTGATAGGGTCCAAGGTTCAAGACCATTAGCCACTGAGATTATCTATACCACAAAGATTTAAAAACCTTAGCAACATTATTTAGTCATAACAGACTTGAAGGCATTTAACAACAACATACATTATAAATATTGTATATATATATATTGAGAGAAAGAGTCCTGATGTGGCACTGTGGGTCAATGTGCTGGACTGCAAGGTCAACCACTAGGGCTCACTAACCGCTCTGGATCCTACATCTGGTTCATCATCATCTAACCTCCAGTTCTTGAGACTTGAGTTAATAGCCTGTTGTCTGATCTGCTGATTCTGGGACTCAAAAAGTTTCTGCAGCCCTGTGAACCAGTACTCTGCCATCTGATGATTTGGGACCTTCCAGTTTCTGCATTCCTATGAGCCACAGCCTGTCATCTGCCCTGTCAATCTGTGCTACAGTCACATGAGTCAAGCCTCCAGCCTAACACCTGATCCACAGATTTGGGACTTGCAGCCTCCACAAATACATAATTAATTTCCTTGAAATAAATTGATAAAGATAGACAGATAGATAGATTAATAGATATACAGACAGAAAAGGTACTTCAAAAGTTCAAAGAGAAATACTCTTTCCATGAACTTTTTGAAGCCCCTTCATGTGTACTTGTATGTGTTTGTATGTGTCCCTGGTTTTGTTGTTCTAGAGAACCTAGCCTAAGACAGATAACCTTTCTAAATTTATGCTTAAGATTTCAGTAAACATTTTCTTTCCACAGACAACAGTAAAAATAATAAACAATGTCAATCCTACATCTGTTAGCTTGACTTTTCTGTAGCTCTCCTTTATATTCAGATTTTTCTACAAGTGGTCAGCTCTACTGTCCTTAATTCTTAAACTTTTAAAGCTAGAGCTTTCTTTCTAAGCTTATAAGATCCATATTTTCTCACTAAGTAGTTTTTCCTCTAGGATTAGAATCTTTATATGCTTCAATCTCAACAAATTATTATTAAGTGAAATACATCACAGTATTAATTAAAATATAAAAATCTAATAAGTATAATTATTCTTACTTTCATTGCAAACCTCTGCTTCTTTTTTTTTTATTCTGATTATAGAAAGCCTTTGTTTATTAATTCATTCAGTTCTTTCAGCAAATTCATGTGTTAAACAGTATGGATTTAGTGTCATTGGTTAAAAACTATTAATAATATGAAAACAAATATGACATATAATTGACATGTGCTAATTGGTGCTAAAATGGCTAAAACAGAGAGACTTGTCTTGGAGCCTGGTGGTAAGTAGATCATGGGAATCTACTCAATAGTTACTGGTTTGGTTTGATTTTTAGAGAGATGACTAGTACGAACAGAGGAAAAACCTGTGCAAAACGCTAAGGCAGGAGAAAATATTACTAACTGAAAACCTAAATTAAATTAAAATATACTATACTCTAGGAGTCCTGGTGTGGTGCTGCAGGTTTGTGCATTGGATCACAAGGTCAGTTTGAACTGCAAGATTACAGATTCAAACCTCGGGAATCCTATACAGGGTTGCTATGAGTTGGAGCCAACTCAAAGGCACTTAGCAACCACAACAACAGTGTCACCTTCGAATATAGAGGGATAAGAAGGGGAAAAAAGGGACATTGCCATCAAATCAATTACAATATAAGTGACCTTGTAGGACAGAATACAACAGATTCATAAGGTCTCCAAGGCTGTACTTTTTTTAGAAACAGATTATCATCTTTCTCCCCTAGAGCAGCTGGTAGGTTTGAACTGTCAGTTTTTCAGTTAGCCACTGGGTGCTTAACCATTGTGCTGCCAGGGTTCCTGAGAGGGAGAAATCAAGAGCAAAACCAGTTTTCAAAGATCAACTCATTGAGAGGGTGGTGTAGACCAGGTTACGGATTTTTAACTGTATTAAGAAACTCTTTAATGATTTTAAGGAAAGGAATGCTGAAATGGAACTTGATATTTTTATGAAAATTGTAGGAATTTTTTTAAAGGTAATGAACTGTAAGAAGCAAAATAGATACAGGTGACCAGTTAGGAGGTTCTGAAATGGGGAATTCTTCAGCAAGCCACTGAAGCAAATAACAAAATTCAAGATTTTTAAATCTTTGGCCAACATCCAGCCTTCACAATCTGTAAAACTGTCAAAGATATATTTTTGTGACTAAATTTATTGTGAATGTTCTTTCCAATAAACTTTAATACTTATTAAAATTTAAAATTAAAATTCAATATTTATTAACCTGAACTAAACTGTCACCGTTAAAAGATGACTTTTCTATTGTAAAAGTTTAATGAGTCAACAGATGACAAATAAATTTACATTTAGAATTTTGAACTATGACCTGTTTCCAAAACTCAGAAGTCAAGTTTTTATAAATAGGGAATTCACACGTTTAGGCTAATTCCTTTTGAAAAATTATGCATCCTTCTTAAGGATGCCAAAAATAAACACATTCATTTCACTTACCCAACAGCAGTGCATGACCTACAATATTGTAAAACACGTTACTGTCCACTTTCAGGCCCGAAGTCCTGGACATGCTGAGGCCTCTACTGAAAGAGCTCCACACTGAACAGTTCTGTATGTAAGAATCTGGATAGGAAAGAATAAGGTAAGACTTACACCACTGTGACTGTTCATTGCCATCAAGTCAGTTCTGACTTATGGTGACCCCAATGTGTGTCAGGATAGAACTGTGCTCAGGAGGGTTTTCTTGATTATAATCTCTACCACAGTAGACTGCCAGGGCTTTCCTCATTGGTACCACAGGGTGGATTCAAACCACCAACCTTTAGGTTACTTGTTGTTAAGCAACGTTGAGTTGGTTTTGACTCATAGCGACTCTGTAAAGGATTTTCAGAGTGGCCAGTGAGTTTGAATTGCCAACCTTGCAGTTAACAGTCCAGTGCTTATACTACAGTGTCATTACCTGGTTAGTTGTTGTTGTTGTTTCTAAGTGCCATCGAGTCTGATCAGACCCATAGTGACCCTGCATAGGGTTTCCAAGGAGCAGCTGGTGAACTTGAACCACCAACCTTGCAGCTCAAACGGACCTTGCAGTCCAGTACATTAACCCACAGTGACACAAATCAAGTGCAAAACACTTGCACCACCTATGGACCCTATAAGAGTGAATCACAAAGCTTCTTCAGGTTTTGTTTATCACATCTAAAACAAGCTGTTGTTGTTGTTACATGTGGTCAATTCCAACTCATAGCAACCCTATACAGGGTTTCAAAGGAGCAGCTTGTAGGTTTGAACTGCCAACATTTTGGTTAACAGTCCAGTGCTTGTCCTATAGCACTACATCAGGAGTCAAAAGCAAACTGTATTATAGCTAAAAGCATCCCTCACACCTTAATGAGATTCAAAAGTTCAAAAGCTAGAAGCAGCAATCAAATCAAATCAAGAAAATCAATAGTTCTCAAATATACCAGTGAGTTAAGCAAAGTGAAATTCAAGGGCCAGTTGTTAGAAAAGAAAATCATCATCTATAAAAGAGTGTATGGCCAAACCACAAAAGAACATATGGCTACACTATTTATTAGTGGGTGCCATCTCTGATACCAACTCTCATCACAACAGGGCAAAGAACAGGTAAACAAAATTGAAGGACTACAGAAAGGGTACTGCTTATAATTATGCCAACCCTGATCTTTGAAAACCACATAGAACATGAGGAAATGTGGTAGTCATTTCTTGAGTGGTGATTTCATATTTCTAGCTTGTCAGGCAATGATATCCCTGCCTCTAGACGCCAAGTGATTCTGTTTCTATATTCTAAGCAAGGACAGGGGTTGACATGAGGAAACTGGCTTTCACATATGATCATAGTAGATTTATAAACAAAAAAGGAAGAAGGCTATACTATGCTAAAAGGAACAAACATTTAGGAAAATCATTACTGTAGCTTTATAGGCACATTTTATGGCCCCTGTATTATGTTATGAAGTCTAGATCAGTCAATGAATAAATATTTACTTCTTCTTGTTGTTAAATGTTATCAGTCTTCTTGTTAAGTGTTGTCAGTTTGGTTCCGACCCATAGCGACAGGGTTTCTGAGGGGTGGCTGGAAAGCTTGAGTGTCAACCTTGTGGTTCAAACCAATTTTTCAGTCCAGAAGAATAACCCACAGTGTCGCACCAGGTCTCCATGATATATACTTAGTACCAACTATATGGAGTCCTGGTGTGGCGCTGTGGGTTAATGCAAAAGACTGCAAAGCCGTTTGAACTGCTAGGTTGGCGGTTCAAGCTCACCAGCTGTTCCTTGAAAACCCTATCTAGGGTCACTATGGGTCGGAATCAACTCAATGTCACTTAACAACAACAATACCATCAACTGTATGTTTAGGCACTGTGCATTGTGTTGGGAATAAATATTTAAAAGTTGTTCGTCTCACTTCTTCTTCCTAGTTTGTCTTCATCTGGAAGCTCATCTGAAAGCTGTCCACCATGGGTGACCCTGCTATATTTAAAATACCCATGGCATAGCTTTTAGAATCACAGCAACTCACAAGCCACCACAGTATGACAAACTGACAGATTACTGGCAATTGGAATTCAAAGGTTAGAAACAAATGGGGAAGGGTCATTAGATGGAAAATATGGCCTTGGTGATAGAAATGATGCTGGAGATGGCATGATTGAATTCTGCAAAACCAATGACTTCTTCATTGCAAATATCTTTTTAAACAACATAAAATACACATGGACCTCACCAGATGGAATACACAGAAATCAAATTGACTACGTCTATGGGCAGACCAGAAGAGTTGTGGGATGACATCAAGAACAGCATAGACAAAGAAAGCAAAAAGTCATTAAGAAGAAAAGAAAGAAGGAAAAGATCAAAATGGATTTCAGAAGAGACTCTGAAACTTGCTCTGCAGCATAGAGATGCTAAAACAAATGGAAGAAATGAGGAGGTACAAGAGCTGAACAGAACATTTCAAAGGTCAACTCAAGAACACAAAGTCAAATATTACAACGAAATGTGCAAAGATCTGGAATCAGAAAACCAAAAGGGAAGAACACGCTCAGCATTTCTCACGCTGAGGGAACTGACGGAAAAATGCAAGCCTGTCTTCCTTACTGGAGAATTCTCTTGGCAAGTTATTGGATGATGCAGAAAGCATCAAAAGAAGATGGAAGGAATACACAGAGTCACTGTATCAAAAGCAAATGATCAATTTTCAAACATTTCAAGAGGTAGTATATAATCAAGAGCCAATGATACTGCAGAAGGAAATCCAAGGTGCAGTGAAGGAATTGGCAAAGAACAAGACACCAGGAAATGATGGAATGCAAATTGAAATCATTCAACAAAGTGAGGTGGCACTGGAGGCACTCATTAATCTATGCCAAGAAATTTGGAAGACAACTATCTGGCCAACTGATTGGAAGGCATCTATATTTGTGCCCAATACAAGTAGAGGTGACCCAATGGAATGTGGAAATCATCAGACAATATCTTTGATATTCCATTTGAGTAAAGTTTTACTAAAGGTAATACAGAAATGGCTGCAACTACACATTGACAGAGAACTTCCAGAGGTTCAAGTCAGATTGGAAGAAGACTCTTTAACAACCTGCAATATGTAGCTGATACAACCTTGCTTGCTCAATGTGAAGAGGACTTAAAATATTTATTTATGAAGATCAAGACCACAGCTGTCAGTATGGATTGTATCTCAATAAAAATAAATCCTCACCATTGGACCAATAAACAACATTCTTATCAATGGAGAAAAGATTGAATGAAGGAATGAATGAATGAATGAAGAAAAGAATGAAGACTTCATTCTTCTTGGATGAACCATCAACACTCATGGAAGCAGCAGTTAAGAAATCAAACAACGCATTGCATTAGGTAAATCTGCTGCACAAGACTTTTTTAAAGTATTGAACAGCAAAGATGTCAGCATGAAGACTAAGGTGCACCTGACACAAGCCATGGTATTTTCAATAACCTCATATGCATGCAAAAGCTGGACAGTGAATAAGGAAGACCGTAGAAGAATTGATGCTTTTGAGTTATGTTGTTGGAGGAGAATATTGAAAGTGCCATGGGCTGCCAAAAGAACCAACAGATCTGTGTTGGAAGAAGTGGAGCCAAAGTGCTCCTTGGAGGCCAGGATGGCCAAACTTCGTCTCTCATTCTTTGGACATATTGTCAGGAAGATCAGTCACTGGAGAAGGATATCATGTTTGGTAAGGTGGAGGGTCAGAGAAAAAGAGGAAGAGCCCCAGTGAGATGGATTGGCAATATGGCAGCATCAATGGGCTCAAGTGTGGCAACAATAGTGAGGTTGGCCCAGGATCGGGCAGTGTTTCTGTTTGTTATGCATAGAGTCACTATGATTTGGTACCAACTCAATGGCACCTAACAACAACATAAGTTAGAACTGACTCAATGGCACTTAACAACAACCTCCTCCATGTTCCCAGACAAAGCATCTGGGTCTCACACTGTTCTTTCCCATTTCCCTTGCAGAAGATTATTCTGAACTAAGACAACAAAAGTGTTTTTTATTGGGTCTGGATTCCCATCACATTGATTGTCTAAACAATTCTTTGTCACAAAGCTAGTAAATGGTAGAAGCAGTATTGAAAGACTCTATCTGTCTAGCTCACTCCACTTTTGTTGTACCTACAACGATAAACACTTGTTGTCGTTGTTAAGTACCTTTGAATTGGTTCCAACCCTTTATAGGATTTCTGAGGCTTTTTTAAAATCCTCATGAGAGCAGAAAGCCTCATTTTTCTCCCATGGAGCGGTTGGCAGACTCAAACCATGGACCGTGTGGTTCTCAGTCCAGTGCTTATCTCATGGAGCTACTGCTTTCCCAAATAAACAGTTTGTTTTTGTTGTTTCGTACCATCCAGTTGGTTCCAACCCATAGAGATCCTGTGCAGTCCAGCACATTAACCCACAGTGCCATACCAGGTCTCCCACTGTCCATCCCTAAATCCCTTATACTTCTGCATGTATGCCTTGAATATGGGAGAAAAGAGGAAAGAAAAATAAGGAATCATTAGCCTCACCTCTCATAGCTCCCACCAGAGTCAGTGAAGTTAAATGTTTCTGAAAGGCTTGCCCCAAATTCTGCAACTCTACTCCCCTCAGCTGGACCTGGCTGGGCATCTCTGGGGAGGACTGGATGATGACTTTGGCCCCCATGTCCTTGGATCCCAGCATCTTCTCATTCTTGGAATACAAACAGTCCTGTAAATTTCCTGAAACACAGAATGAGAAAGGAACTTGAAGCATGTTAAACATGCTTCTAGACAAATCTCCCAGTCTGAAGGGTACGGTCAACACAAATAAAAAACCATAATTGTTTATTTCATTTAATAATTTACTTCCTTCTCTCTTTGATTATCCTCTGTGGATTATTAATTAAAAGATCCAATAACTAGGACATGATGTTGCCTTCACTCTATTATTTCCAGAAACCTCCAAATCAATCATTTTAATTTACTGCCACAAAGAGCCAGACTCTAACCAACAAGCCCAAGCTAAATAGATGCTTATTTCAATCCAAAAGATCCCCTGGAGGAAGTATGCAATAAAATGACCTTCTCAGGGTTGATAATTGTAGGGAAGAAATGTGAGGACTGAATGTAGTCACAGCACTTTTTATCCAAAGCCATCTAATAGGGCTTTGCCTTTATTTTGATACTTTATAGATTGTTGTTGTTGTTGTTAAGTGCCATTGAGTTACTTCTGACTCACAGCGACTGTGTAGGGTTTCAAGTAGTAACTGGTGAGTTTGAACCACCAACCTTGTGGTTCAAACCAACTTTGTGGTCCGGTACTTTGTTCCACAGTTAGTAATAAATGCCGCTGCAAAAATGGCAAAAGGTTCCAGAGAAATAACTGAGCAGTTTCTGTACTAAAACCTTCTTCCTAAACCTTGTGGCCAGCTCAATTTAGGGTGAATCCTGTGATGACCAGAGGACACTAGATTATAAGAATGTAACACTCACAACTATGATTACTAGAAACAGCTGTGGCCTCAAGGTTCAGGCCACTTTTTGTTGACATATGACATTTGATTGTATAAACTAGCCTCAGATTGGAGAACCAATCATCTCCTGAATTGATTCTTTATTGTTCATGCTAATAATCTTTCCCAAGTAATCCACAGTAAATTTTAGAATCCAGCTACTTGCTAATGCTCAGAGAATGAACACAGTAAGAGGTGAATAAAGATGCGGTTTCTATGTGTATGCTTTATCAAAATACTAATGATTTATATCTGTGACTCAAAATATTTTTTGAGTGTCCTTGCCTCTTATTGTTTCATTTAGCTGCCTTACTCCTACATTCAGCACAACACAAATAAGGAGTGAGAAACATTTGTTTTAACTAAGATCTATGAATTTACTTTTATTTTGAGAACTTTATAATAACATTTAATAATTGTAATGAAACTAGAAGTTGTTTTTTTTCTCTCTTAGGAGCTAGCAGACTCATAGTGGCACAAGTCTATAAGCATGGTCTTATAGCACGATTGAGCACAATACCTCACAAATTGTGATCAGAGAACCATTTGTATGAGAAATTATGAGCAGTGTTTGAATGGAATTCAGATCTTAATTCAGCAGATTGCTGAAGTTTGACAGTCACTGGATTTTCACCAACTGTCACCCAAACATGTCACCAAAATGACATGCTTGTGATGACTCAGGAATGAAAGTGGGGCAAGGTAGGGGATCAAGGTGCCTCATACTACTAACAACTGTCCACACCCAACCATATCCCAAAATTATACCAACATGTACTTATATGCAGAAATGTCCCAAATCATCATCTTCAGCCCCAACATTTCTTCCAGACTCTAGATACTAGCAGACATCTCCAATTAGGTACTGGCCTGACAGCTTAGTTTCAATAGGCTCAAAATTAAACTCATGATCTTCACCCTTCCTCCCCCAAACAGTATGCTCTTCCCATCTCAGTAAGTAGCCTCATCATCCATTGAGAGCTCATGCCTGGGAGTCATCCTTGACACCCACAGCATCCTGCACCAAAATTGACAAATGATGTCTCCACTACATGTGAAAGACTCATAATCTATAGGCTGGGAGACCAAAACATAACCTACTAAACTAACCATGCCTGAAATAGATGTTTAATAGGCACATCAGTGTGATTCAGTGCCTGTTACTCTACTAGAAGATAAATTGACTTTTTGGACCACTTACCTAAAATATGTGATAGTTCACAAAACAAACTGAAAAAAAAAAAAAAAAAAAAAGGCGGGGGGAGGGAATAAGAAAGTCCTACATGTCTAGTCCTACAAGAATGTACTGCTGAGCCCATCATTCTGGAATTACAGTTTTCCTAAGAATAGTAAAAGAGACCTCGCAACAGCGATAAGACAATATCATTACCAGGGAGTTTAACTCAGAAGAGATTCAAACTTCTCTTGAAGGTCTCCAGATTTAATATTTTAAGAAATCTGCCCCCTAAAGAAGTAACTACTTTCCCAAACTGTGGGCATTTTTTGTTCAAACACTGGATTTCTCAGCAAAATACTTCTCTACCTTCTGAAACCTTGGCCTCCTGGCATGAAGCAAGTTGTCTCATTATCTCATCAGTAAGATTTCCTTGAATGACAATATTCCTGCTGAGTAAAGCCACTGTGGTCTTGAAAACAAGATGCTTTCCAGCTACCCAACTCTCCGTGAAGTCATGAGAATATCTGGGAAGAAAAAAGGAGAAAGACACATCTGAAAATGTCATACTCTGAGTCTTATTAGGAACCGTAATGCACTAGATTAGTGTGATTGTTCATTTGGGGATCTATAGCTTTTGAGATCCTAATACAGAAAAGCAGACAATGGGTACAGTACATGAAAACTGGATACTGTCAATTATTACACTAACCACTTGTTAAAGGAGTCCTGGTGTGGCGCTGTGGGTCAATGCACCAGACTGCAAAGCCGTTTGAACTACAAGGCAGGTGGTTCAAACTCACCAGCTGCTCCTCAGAAACCCTATACAGGGTTGCTATGGGTCAGAATTGACTCAACAGTGCTTAACAACAACAACAACTTGTTAAAAGCAGAAAGAAGATTTAGGGTCTTACAAGATAAATTTATTTAAGAAGTCCAGATCCTAAAAATATTTCATGCTTTATGATTTTCTTATCAAAATTCCTAGGACTACAAAAAGAATTAAAAGCAAGAATGCAAATTGATACTTATACACCAGGTTTCAGCTTCCTCAGTGGCAATGCAAAAGTAGCAATCTCTTACCTCCTATGGGTATAAGAGATTAAATGAGATAAAATCTAAAGAGTATCTATGAATGTTCATTCATAATAGCCAAAAGAAACAGCCCAAGTATCTATCAAAATGTGGTACATGCATGCAATGGAATAAAAAGAAATGAAGTCTTGACACTTGCTACAATATTGAAAATAATACGTTGAGTAAAATAACTCAGTCACATAAAAGAACAAATATTGTATGATTCCAGTTATAAATAAAACATCTTATTAGTGGTTGTCAGGGGTGCGTAGGAGTGAAGGGGAAAGACAGATACAATACTTAAGGAACGCTAAGCATCAGTTAAGGGTTACGGGAAAAATTGGGAACAGTTCATGATGATGGCTGAGCAACATGATGAACATAATTAATGTCATGGCACTGTACACATGAAGATTGTTGAAATGGCAAATAGTTTGTTATGTATATATTCACCACAATTTTAAAATGTCCTGATGTGGTGATATAGGATAAACACTGGATTGCTAACCAGAAGGTTAGAGGTTCAAACCCAGCAGTCACTCCTTAGAAACCCCTTGTTGTTGTTGTTAGGTGCCATCAAGTTGGTACCAACTCATAGCGACATTATGCACAGCAAAACGAAACAATGTCCGACTCTGGGCCAACCTCACTACTGTTGCCATGCTTGAGTCCATCGATGCTGCTACTTGGCCAATCCATCTCATTGGAGGTCTTCCTCTTTTTCTCTGATCCTCCACCTTACCAAACATGATATCCTTCTCCAGTGACTGGTCCCTCCTGACAATATGTCCGAAGTATGAAAGATAAAGTTTGGCCATTTTGGCCTCCAAGGAGCACTCTGACTGCACTTCTTCCAAAACAGATCTATTGGTTCTTTTGGCAGCCCATGGCACTTCCAATATTCTCCTCCAACACCATAACTCAAAAGCATCAATTATTCTACGGCCTTCCTTATTCACTGTCCAGCTGTCACATGCATGTGAAGTTATTGAAAATACCATGGCTTGGGTCAGGCACACCTTAGCCCTCAAGTTGACACCTTTGCTCTTCAACACTTTAAAAAGGTCTTGTGCAGCAGAAGTGACGAACTACTTCCAAATATTTAGTCACTGAAAACCTTATGAATAGAAACCCCTAGGGTCACTATAAGTTAGAGCTGACTCAACAGCACTTAACCGCACTAGCATTATTTAATATAAAAATATATTTTGAAAGACTAACAAATATCCAGATTCTTAACACATTTAAGATCTCATCTTCCATTAGCATTTAGCCAAGCTGACAGCTCAGTACCTCAAGGGTGACTGAAGATGGACATCTGCATTGTGCACAGTCTCCACAATGACAATCTCATCCCTAGGCTTGGCATCTTCAGCACCTACATCACTGATGATGACAACTTCATCCCCAGGTTGCCAGTCCACAGCATCTTCCAGAGCCAGTACAGTGTCACAGGCGTGGGCAGCTTCTCGAAGATGGGTGACAATTACTTCTGGTAGTGGACCTAAAGGAGCCCAAGGAAAATTTGCCTTTAAATGATTTTAATGATTAATAAAAGTGTAACGTTATTCAACCAAAGAACGCTGTGAGTGAAGAACCTGGAAAAACAAGCATCAAGGTTAATAACACCAAGGCCTTCACTTTTCCTAATGCTGGTTTTCTCCTCCAGAGCCCTGGTGGCATCACAGAGGGTTATGCATTGAACATAACAGTTGGAACCCTTCAGTCACTCCACAGGAGAAAGATGAGGCTTTCTGCTCCCATAAAGATGTACCACCTCAGAAATCATACACAGGGTCACTATGAGTCAGAACCCACTTGATGGCACTTAACAGTTTTCTCATATTTAACAGAGTTTGTTGTTAAATGCTGTCAAGTCTGTTTCAACTCATAGCAACCCTGTATAGATTTTCTAAGTTGTATTATCTTTGCAAGAGCAGAAATTCTCATCTTTCTCCAACAGAGTGGCTGGTGGGCTTAAAGCACTGACCTTGTGCTTCGCAGTCCAGTGCTTATCATACAGAGCCACCACACTCCTTATTTAATAGGGCAGAGAGTCGTAAAGTGTATAAATCCCAGCTTTGCCTTATTCTCACAATGGAATCTCAGGTAGTCTACTTAAGGGTGGGTTTCCACTTCCTCAATTACACACCAAAAGTAGCAATCTCTTACCTCACTGGGGTTTGTTGTTGTTGTTGTTATGTGCCTGGAGTCAGTTCCAACTCATAGCGATCCTCTACAGGGTTTCCAAGGCTATAAATCTTTAGGGGAGCAGAAAGCCTCAAGTTTCTCCCATGGAACAGCTGGTAGATTCAAACTGCTGACCATGAGACTAGCAGTCTGATTTGTAACCACTACGCTAACAGATTAAATGAAATAAAATCTATGAAATATCTAGCTTGGACCTTGACACATAATAGACCATCAGTGTATTTTAGTTCTTCCCTACAACTCTGCTTTGAGAATGAATTTTTCCTATTACTTTCTTATTTTAAATAAAGACAAATGATTGCTGACTATGATGTAGAAGTCCATAACTAATTTCCATTCCAAAGAATTCAATTTACTTCAGAAAGTGTTAACAGAGTAGAAATTCAAAATCACCTTTAAACAGTTATCCTAAATCTGGGTATATTAAATGATTCCTCGTGTGGTACAGTGTATTTACTTAATATGTCTCTTCTAGCCATGGTTTTTGTAACTCCTACCAAATGATTGGGAGGGACCATACAAATTGGGTATATGGGGCTCTAACATGGAAATTGGTTAGTTTTGCTAGCCCACTAAGTTTAAAAGGAGCCATCACAGAAACAGGAACAGAACATCTCAAGACCATCAAGAAAGAAGGGGCATGGAAGAGCCTATTCTTTGAAGAGTTGGCAGCAGCAGCAGAGGCAGCAGCATGGAGAGATAGAGAGACAGAGCAGTGAGTTTCTTGGACCATTGAAAGAGTACAGTTGAGTGCCTTCTGAAAGGAGCATGACCTGCAGAACTGAGTGCCCTTTAGGCATTTATCAGTAGCAGTAAGGGAACTTTTACACTTGCCTGAGCAGGACAGAGGCCATGGGACCATGTGGCTAAGAGACCAAAGACCAGAGAGAGGCATGCTGTGGTACGATTGAGAAGATATGCTTCTGACTACAGAATTGCTACTTCCTGAGTTGTTTCTGATCCTGAATTGTACCCTCTACTTCCCTAGTATAATAATGAAGTATTTTTCTTCACACCATTTTTGCACCTTCCAACTCTAAAATAATATATCCAGGACAGAATTGTGAGGGAAAGTTGAAGACGGGGAAACTTTTAACTGTGCATATTTTGATTTATTAGGCTCAATTGCACCCATCTATTCCTCCCTACACAAGCATGCTAGTTCCTAACTACTGAAGATTGAAGAAGGTAGTCTCGCTCACATTTTACTCTGGTCTTTTCCAGCAAGAGTCAAAGCCAAGTGCTTTTTCAAACCATTATATAAAGCAATACCTCAAAAAATACATAGCTTACTTCTAACTCCTTCCCTTTCTTTAGTACATTTCCTTCCTTCTTTGCAATAGATCATAATTTACCCTTAGCCCACAGCAAGTTACTGTCCTCCCTTCTTGCACTAAAGTAAAGTAATAAGACTCGAATCTCTAACTACCGAGGTGGCCTACAATAAATCATTTTCAAATTATTTTAAACTTTCTTCTTTATTTATTTGTATGTGTGCAGGAACTTGTGCTAACGATGCTTTTCTAGATTTAGAAAGGTCTTTGGGTTAATGATATAATTTCTAAAGTTTACTTGGGCCATAATTTTATCGTAAAAAAATTTACAGAGTTCAAAATTTCTAATTATAGGTCAGGTGAAAATTAAGACATAAATCATCCCAAAAGAAAATCATTTTAATTTCATTCTGAGTTTGCATGTTTTAACCTTTGGGAATAATAAGATGAAATAAAGTTTATTTATATGTATATGCACATACATGTGTATTGCAATGATTCCTTTTTGAATGTCTGAAAAGAAAAGTTGATACCAAGCATAGAAAAATGTTTGTCAATGACAAAATGCTATCAAACTGTGTGATTCATTGTTCACAATCCTCAATCATTATGCTGTAAATACCTGCTACCAGTATGCATAGCAGATTCAAGAGTAGAAACAACAAAGATATTTTTCAACTAACTATTCTTTTAAAATGATAGGGAAATCAGAATGAAAGAACCACATCCCAGATGTTTTTGAACATCATGTGTTAACTATCAGTATAAATTATTGTACTTCAAAGGCCCCTGAGTGGAACAAACAGTTGGTGCATAATTATTAATTCAAAGGTTGGTGGTTTGAACCCATCCAGGACTACCACCAAAGATAAGACTGGCATTCTGCTTCAATAATGATTACAGCCAAGAAAAATCTAGGAAATTCAGTGCTACTCTGTAACACAAGGGGTCACCATACAGGAATAGCCACAGGTTGAAGAGACTCAGGGAACCCTGGGGAAACTTGAGTTACATAATTTATAGTAATAATGGTTGTTGTGTACCGTGAAACCAGTTCCAACTTATAGTGACCATCTATATGGTTTCTAGGTTTGTACATCTTTACAGGAGCAGAAAGCCTCATCTTTCTGAAGTAAGTGACTGGTAGATTCAAACTGCTGACCTTGTGATTAGCAGCCAACTCATAATTCCCCAAATTACCAGGGCTCCTTACTATAACATATGCTTTAATTTTTGTTGTTAAGTGCCTTCAAGTCAGTGCCAACTCATAGTGACCCTGTATAGCGTTTCCAAGTAGTGACTGGTGAGTTGGAACCACTGACCTTGTGGTTCAGACCGACTTTGTGGTCCAGTGCTTATCCAAATAAGTAAATAATATTCAGTATCTAAGTTGTTGTTAAATTCCATCAAGTCAGTTCTGACTCACAGTGACCCCATATAGGGTTTCTGAGGAGCTGCTGGTGAGTTTGAACCACCAGCCTTGTGGTTCAAACTGACCTTGCAGTCCAGAACTTATCCTACAGAAACAGAAATGCAAACATTCATAGAATAAACCAAACACATGCTAGGTAGCTTTACAATAAGGTAGGCTTTTTGTTCCCTTTAGTAGAGTGTACAGATTATTGTTGTTGTTGTTGTTGTTGTTGTTGTTGTTGTTGTTGAGTGTCATCGAGTTGGTTTCAATCCATAGTGACCCTGTATGAGGTTTCCGAAGAGCAGCTGGTGAGCTTGAACCGCTGACCTTGCAGTTCAAATGGCTTTGCAGTCTACTGCATTAACCCACACCTGAGAAATTCAGATTCTTCAAGGACAAGGTTGTACAGTTATGAGATTGCCAGTGTCAGATTCTGAAATCCAGTACCAGGGAACTGGACAAGTAATTGAATTCCTGGCCTCTGGAAATAACTGTAAATTAACTGTACCCAATTAGCTTTGATACTCAAAAATTATATTCATTACTTTGCAAATGGTATTTAAATGCCACACAAGGTGGACCTACAGAACTCTGTAATGAAGAAAGCACTGCCCACATTGGAAATGTGAGTCAGTTCACTATACAGAACTCTTAAGAAACACAGATTGAGCAGCTCCCTTCCTTTGTGTACCACAAATCAAGTCACAAATAAAAATACCATTGAAAAAGCTCAAGAGTTTATAAATATGCTTAAATTAAAAAGGGTTGTGCTCTTAACTTGTATTTTAATATGATGTTTAACCACTCTCGGCTTTCAAAGTTGACCTGTTATCCAACAAACTGCTCATTTACTCCTGCTAATGACTTTGACTCATAATTGTATTTCCTTAAAATTATTGTTCAAACATTCCAGTGTCATTCATCCATGATTACACAGTCCCAGAGAACCATTCTTACTAAATGTGCATGGAGAGAAATAATAATCTTTGTGGCTTAGCACACTTCATAATCTCTAATTGTCCTCTGTTTGATTATTTTGTAGGACTTCAATCTTTATCCCAAATTAATTCTGCCAAGATCTCTCCAAACAGTTAACAAAAGGAATAATGTCATTTCAATAAAATAATGTCCACATTAGGATATAAATATTAAAATAGTCATAAAATAACTAGAAATATTTTTCTCAATTATATGCACATTATTTCCCCTTCATTTCTGGTTTCAGCTTCTCAAGTATCCACAGCAAAATAATGAATGCTGTTCTTTCTTATCTGTAGATTAAAATGGTTAGGTATAAGGGAGACAAGGAGTCCTGGTCATGGAATGAGTTAAGCACTGGGCTGCCAACAGCCATTCCAAGGGAGAAAGTTGAGAGTGTTTACTCTCATAAAGGTTTCCAGATTCTGAAACTCTGTGGAGCAGTTCTATTCTGTTCTGTACTGTCACTGTGAGTCAGAAATGACTCAATGGCTGTGGACTTGGGGAGACAAAGATGAAGTAAACAGACGCCCTGACCTCCAGGGCCTATGCTCAGTATGTTGTTGTTAAATACTGTCAAATTGGTTTCAACTAATGACGACCATGTAAACGGTTTCCCAAGAACAG